TGCACTCATGCTAAGGATCAGGTCTGGGGGAGCTTTTGGATTCAGGACTGTCACTAGAGGGAGGCATGCATAAACTGTGACACAGAGCACCTTTTACCATCTTAGGCTGATCTATCAGCTGCATCTTTATCTGAAGACAAGATAGCATTGTCTAGCTATGTGCTCACGCAAGATCTTGTCCAGATTAATGCACTGCATTACAAGTGAGGCTGTCTTTGAAAATGGCCCAGCAACTTTAGCTGGTCCAAAATAGGGCAGCAAGACCATTAGCAGGGCACTGGTCAACATGATCACACTATGTGAGGACTTTTCCTTCTGTACCGCCAGTCCATGTCCAGGCCTGATTCAAAGCCCTACATGGGCTGAGGCCAGGCGACCCAGAGGATCATCTCCCCTATACATAACTATGTGGGCCACAAGACCACCTTGAGAGGTCCTTCTCTGGGAGCCCCTATCAAAGGACTCAAAGTGGGCGGCTACTATGAAGAGGGCCTTTTCTGTTGTAGCATCACAGCTGTGGAATGAGCTTTCCAAGAGTTTGTTGCATGATGCCTACCTTGTGCTCTCTCTGGTGCCAGCATTTCCACAGACATTTTATATTTTAGGTTTCTGCTTTAAAACTACTTCGTTTTAAATCTTTGCATTGTTCTGAGGTTTGCTTTTGGCTTTTATCTTTGTTTTATACTGTCATTTAATTTTTTATACTGTAACCTATGATGCATTGTACAGTTATAATTGTTGGAAACTGCACAGAAAGCTTTGGCTGTGCAGCATACAAGTGTAAAAATAATCATTTGTGGGAAATTATCCTTCCTGCATAGCTATACATTGAGCTAATGTGTCATATCACCTTTGCTAAGCTGGAAAGGTGTGGCCTGCAGCCAGAAGGGTGACTGACACATGGAAGCAGAATGAAGGGTTGGACTTGGTGGCCTTAAAGTCCCTTTCCAGTTCAACTACTCTTCTAAATGCCTATCAGCATGAGCCTGAAAATCTCTCATCATTTTGGAGATTCCAATGGAATACGCAGGGCTGCATTTGAAGCAAGCTAATGTCTTAGAAAAACACTTGTCTCTCCTATAATATTGAATTTTACTCCTATCCTGGCTTAGCTAGGATGTTCCTTGGCATCATCACTTCACCAAACAAGTTTCCAAGAAATGTAGCCAATAGTCCTTTAACAAATTCTAGCCACTACCTTGCATCTCCAACATTATAGTAAGTTGGCTGGCTACACCTCTCACTTGGGCTGTACTTATTTTGCACATTGACAGCATTCACAGTATTATGGAAGTTTTCTTTAAAATGTCTGACATAGCTAGGGCACAGTCTAAGGGCACATTATGCTAGCCACCTTACTGAGATTAACAAGTCCTTTGTCTGGTTGGTGTTCCATGACCTTGAGTTCCATGACCAAAAAAAAAGGGGGGGGGCAGGGCGGGAATATAAATGTCCTAAGTAAGAAAAACAGGAAAGGTTTTCACAAAGGAAACAGCAGTGGTCCAGAATGTGGAGTGAGTCAGAACTGTTAGATCAGGCAGCCTATGAACAGTCATTTGCAGTAGCAAGGCCAGTTGTAAGAAAAGCAGGAAAATTTGGCCCAAATTTCTTGAATTATTTGATCATCAAGCAAGGCTAGGTAGTAGGCAAGATGGATGGTGACAAAGGATCCTTGGACTGCCCTTCGAGCAAAGATTAACTTTCAGCAACGGCCTTATTTTTTCTGAAGTGTTTGATTTGTATTGTTTCTTTCTTTCATCAGCCTGCCTGTTCTCACATTAAGGGTGCTTAGGTGCAAGGATCAAATGCCCTGACTCAAGGGAATATACAGCAGGCTGTATATTCCCATACCACGTTTCAAAATCTTTCATAAACATTTTTTTAAAGGAGAAATGCTAATATCTGCAGCTGGCTATACGTAGCTGCCTTTGGGCTAATGAGAAGTTCAAAAGGTTTGCATACTTTCAAAAGCTGTTTTAATGCAACTTTTTAGTGATGGCCCCCCAACTGTTGAACAATCCCCCCACTAAAGTCCATCTGGCACCACCTCTGTCATCCATTCAGGCTAAGATTAAGATAGTCCTGCACCCCAAGGCATTTAAGGCTTCATATCATGACTTGAAGGGAGCACTCAGGAATGTGTTTCAAAAGGTTCGTTCTGTACAAAATTTCATTTTAGTTGCATTTTTCTTTAAAATTTGTACTTTGGAATAATCTTATGATTAACTGTATTATGATCCTGTTTTAGGAACTGTTGTACAATGCACAGGCATGCTTAAATTATTGGGCAATACAGAAACAAAACAGAATAAATAATACCAGGCATGCACAAGGTAAAAATAATATATGCACAGGTTTTGGATATGACAGATTTTATGCCATAGCAGCTGTCATCAATTTAGTGCAAAAGAGGTAACATTTAAGTTCAAACAGTTCCCAACTTAGGGAACTGGTTTTGCTTATTTATTTTGATGCCATACTGAAAAGCCAGGGGTATTTTTAAAGAAATATTGTCAGTAATTTTTTTTTTGTAGAAATCTATTATTCCTACTCATTAGCTGGATTTTCAGAATCATGAAGGAGAAGGAAGTGATGGTGGCTTCTTTTCCCTCCACTATACATACCTCTTGTGGCATTCAGGTTCTGTGTTCTCTGAACCTGGCAGTGAGCACAATGAGGGTTGTTACCAAATCACCTCAGAACCAATGGCATACTGTAGAATTCTGGTGTGGTTTGGAAGCCACCCTTGCTGGGTTCAGACAGCACAGCAATTTGTACCCCATGAGGGTAATTGGACAAATTGAGCAGAGCACAACCAGCACAGGCAGGGAAAATAAACAACTGTGGCTTTCCCCCCTCAGTTATCACCTGAACCTGGCTATTCTCTAGAACAACACAATGCATCTGGCTAATACAAGCTATGTAAAGAACTGGTGCAATTGGATTGTAACAATTATAAGGAATCATCTTTTCCTCCGTTGAGCATAAAACTATTGCATCAGTCAATCCTAGCAGAAAATATGGTTGGATAGAGAGCAATTATTCCTCCCTGGACCACAGCCAGGTTGTCAGGACTAACTACCTAAGCTGCTGAACAGAGCCAAAGAGAACCTAATAGCTCATAAACTCCATTTGGCATGTCACAGAGTGTAGTTCTCTCTGTTCAAGCCTTTTTTAATTGGAAATTACGCTTACATTTCTCTCCTCCAGCTTCCTGTTTCTTTAGAAAGGGCAGCAGCAGCAGCAAGGTGGATTGGGGGCACATGCTGGTTTAACAGCAGCTTTGAGAATCAACCAAATGAAAGATTACAGGATTTTTTTTCAAAAAGCTGCCTGTAATTAACAGCCAGTGAAGCAGTCTCCTGCCTGCTCTTTTGCCAGGGGTTATAACCCTGAATTGTCAGGGGAGATACAAGCCAGCATTCCAGGTTTAGATATAATGCTAACCTTGCCAGGGATAGAATGTCCCCTGCTTGTTTTGACAGGCCTGTTGGCAGGTCTGACTACCAGGAGTAATCAAGACACATGCACCAACAAGCTGGATTTCTCACAATCACCCAGGGTTTTTAAAACCCTGGGTTATTGTTGCGTATGAACAGAGCCAGTTACTCTGTAATAAAGGTATTAGCACCTACTTGATTAGAAATGCTGAAAAATTCTAAACTCCTTTCTTACCAACAGTGATATCACTATGAGAGATCTTGGCAAGACAGGAACTCCATGATATATTCTATCAGACACAGGCGGTATACCAGACTTACTTATGAAAAATCTAACAGGTTTTTACCATAAGACATGAGGCCTAAGTTAAATTTCGCAGCAGCCTAAGTAAGCAGGGTTTGTGATGAACCCAAAATAGCAGAGGCTCATAGGAATATTGGACTCTACTGATGTACATGAGCCCAGTATAAGGAACCTCTAAGAGTTTAGTAACTGTGCAATCACATTATCTTGCCTTATTTAGGAACCTGTTACCGTTATATGTCGCAATTTGAAAGGCACTGTATGTAACTGTTTAATACATCTCTTTTCCTAAAATGACTTTATATTCATATATAGCATTTTGTCACGACCAGTCCCCACCAACACACCAATTTTCTTCATTTTTTAATTTTCTCTTGAAGCAACATTAGCTAAGCATGCAAGCACAAAAAAAATTTCTCCTGTTGTTCTTACTTACAGAACCTTGCATTCTATTAGGTGGACATGCTAAATTATTTCTCTTAAAATATCCTGGAGATGACCTGTAGGAGATGGCAACTATACTGGATAAATTTTTATCCTATTCTTGCTCCAAGACATTCAAGGTGGTACAGATGGCCACAACTGTCCTGTGAGGTAGAGTTAGATTGCAATAAATGATTAAAAAAAACTTGCTGCCCTTCCACAGTCTTCTAGTCAGATCCTCCCAATATAAAATAGGAGCTAGACTTCCACAGATCCAGACCATCTGAATTTGCAGTCAAACAAAATGTTCTGGAGTACAAGCCTCTCAGATGGCACAAATGGAACTTAAGAACTATTGCCAAGAACAGATGAAAAAATGTGTGGCATCTCATAATAGCTACAGGAAGGAAATCACTCCAAGGAAAAATGTGTTTGTATTTTTTTCACTTTGCCCATCACGATTCCTTGATGTTTCTGGAATTTAGTTCTACAGTGAGGCACTGCATAAATTGGCAGCAAATGGCAGGGTGCCGGTACTGCTCTGAGAAGAGTAAGACTTGCAGATAAAAGTTGCAGTTCTCCATTTTAAAAAATGGAAAAGGACTTGCCATTTAAGTGAATAAGGTATTCACATCTGCTAGAACTGTGTATGCATATCAGTGCACAGGCATGCTGCAGCTTAAGTCCTGTAATGAACAACCAGAGTAAAATCAAGAAATGCAGCCTATTCCAAGGTAGAGTAACTCCACATTTGTCACTAGTGATTTTATTTGATCATTAGCAGTCCTACAAGTTAGAAGGCAAGACAGAAATGAACAGTGAATGCGAGAAGATTTGGAATGTAACAATTTATTGGGGTTCATTTTTTACTTCCCCATTTCTGGCATTGATACAATATTCAAGAGCAGCAGAAAGAACAAAATGTACAAGAATACAAGAGTAATTAGCAGAACCCCCTGCAAAACCTGGAGCAAGCCACTTTTCTGATGGAAGTGCCAGTGGGAAGGGCAATTCAATCACTCAACCCACTATGCTTCCCACACATCCACCCTAGACAGTTTAGCCAGCTGAGAACTGGATTTTAAAAGCAACCAAGCAAATGCAAACACTATATTTAATAATGAAGACTTATAAGACAAAAATAATAATAGATAACACTTCATTCGTGCACAATTGTCTCATTAAATGCATTTTTTCAAAATAAAAAAGTTACCAGATATATATTTAGCAATTGGTTTTTAAAGCCTATTTTGTATGCCAAGAGGCAAGAACTCAACAACTTCGGCTCACCCTTTCACAAATTTAGCATAAAGCCTCAACTTTGCAAAAGTTAAAAGCACAGGCTTTCAATGAAGCACTCATATTCTGAAGTTCTGTAAGGCCAGAGTGAGTGCTAGTATCACACAGAACTCCCTTATATCATACAAGGGTCTCAACTTCACTAATCTTCTGTGTGATCATATCATGAATCAGCATCAGATTTGGCAAGGTTGAGGCCTGGCATTGGCAAATGCAAGGTTGAATGCAAAAAGGGAGCAAGCACCAATTCTGTACAATCTTGCAATTTTCTATGTGAAAGTGAAAGGTTCTTCTTCAAGACAAGTGACAGAAGGACAACTACATAGAATATCAAGTGGTTTGGATATTTTTTGGGGGGGGCGGGGGAGGCATCAGAATTACAGTAAAACCACTGCTGGAATTATTTATGCCAGGGTGGCAGCAGTAACTATCATGAAGCAAATTTGATGTCCTTAAGAAGTTCCTACTTTCTGATAACCACTTGGCTCTGTACCATTCATCCCACAATACATTCACATATTTTGCCACCCTCCCTTTACAGCTCACTGATTTTTCCCATTATTTGCATTTCAGGTCTTACAAAGAAAAGATATCTTCAGAATTAAAATGACCTCATTACTGCCAGCTTAAGAAGAATAGCTACCTTGCCACAGAGAAGTGTCTATTGAACACTACAGGACAAACTACCACTGGTCACACATGAAACCTACAAGCAGCAGTAGAACTGGTGCTTATTTGCTTGGTTCAATGGAACAGTCCAACAGCAACATGACTGGGTACTGTATTTCCAACACTGGAGTTTCCCCATGGTGTTCCAATGATCAAGAATGTTAAAAAAAAGTGTTGACTTCATATAACTCTTTCCAAGACATGGCAATCGAAAGACTCCTGCTATGCTCTTTAATGACAGGTCAATTCCTGCACATCATTCTTGTGGCTGAAAACAGCACGAAAAGCTGGTTTTCTAAGAGCCTGGGATATACACTGAATATGGGGTCCAGCAGAAAATATGAGAGGAGACCCCATTTAAAATTGCAAGATACTTCATACTCAAGGCTCCAATATGAGTGCTGAAATGTTACTTAAAGCATGTGCTTCTAACATTTTTAAGTGCTCTGCAAAACAAGTGTGGGTTTTCAGAATGTTACATTTAAGTTAATCTGTAAAATATCTTTTACTACCTATTGCAAACAAGACAGTTCTTTCATTTCTTGGGTTGGATACAGGATCTGCCTTCCATTAGAGGAAAGGACCTTCAGCTTATATCTGTAGCCAACTCTCTATACTCCTTTGTAGTCCTCTATTCTGTTGCTCTGCTTATCCATTTAGTGCTACACATACCTATTTTCTGGTTAAGAATATCATGCTCCTCTTTTCTCCATTTCGGCTGCCTTTACCATTTTACTAAGCAAGTAAAACAGCACTATAGCTTTCTTTCACTCTTGCAAGCAAAGAATGTGATGACTGTTCAAACGCTATCTGCATTGCTTCTGGGTTGATGCCAGATATGGCGCATCCCTTAGGGAATATATTAGATTGACAGGGAGTCACCAAGGTCTAAGCACTTCTTGGCCGTGCCCCTTCCTTGTAAAGAAAAGAACTCTTGGGAGCCTTAGACAATGTATACATTTTTCTTTCCACCCACCTGGTATTTAAGGAATAGACAACATAACCAAATAAATCCTAGAATTCTAACAAACCAGAGGGACCAACCTGAGCTCTCTAGTCCCTGTAAATTCTTGCTATAGTGGGGCATGAGGGCGGTCAACCCAAGGAGTAATCAATTAGTGTAATCTTTAGATTCTGTGCTATTTATACATGTAGCATGCAACAAGAGCCAACAATGGAGGTAGCAATATGATATGGATTAGGATGGAGAACCCCTTTAAGCCCAAGGTCCAAATTCTGTCTGGGAGAAAGTTTCAGGGGCCACATTTCAGCTATGGGTAACACTGAAGGAAAAAGGAATGGGGTAAAAATACCAGCACAGTGAAGCATAAAGCTCTTACTGCAAGTAACTAAGCCTTAGGAAAGGCATTTCAACATTTCTTAATAGAGGATAATGTTCCACAAAATATGGAAGACCACCAAGCAATTGGTGGTTGGAAAGAAAAGGATGGAGCTGGGGGAAGGAGTGTGATCACGTGGGATTTTTACTCCCACTCCTGAGGTTTTGCACCCCTCATGCAAATAACTATTGGCCTAACTTTGTAAGGTCTCATGTAATGAAGCAGCCCTGAGATCACATCACTTTCATTAAGAAGTTCCTTTTCCTTGACACAAATTAAATTTTAATGAAGACAGAACATGTTTTGTGGTTCTAAGAATATTCATATATAAATAACTCTACAAAAAGGTCATCTAGACTTTGCCCTCATCAAAAGTTGCAGTATGCCTAAGTTATGCAAGTTAAATACATTTGCATAATTTACTTACTTGGTATATTTTATTCTACTTTTGTTTGCCACTGGGAGCTGAAAGAGCAACAGTGCAGCCATAAGGTTGGAATCCAATGTTCAAAAAGAGAAAGAATACAGTCTTATGCTAAATTCAAAAACCTATATTAAAATTCTACCCTTACAGAATCTATATAGCCCTGGTCCTTCAATCTGTAATGATGCCATGTCTGAATACATACATGTACATCAGTTTCATACCTACCCCTTCTCAGTTTCTTGGAAAATCCTTTGGTTGACTCTCTCAAGTGAAATAGAAAGGAAACTGATAAGGCAACTAATCATTCAGAACATGGTTAAGGGCAGAAAAATTACTTTGGGAAGGGATCACAGCTCAGTGGTAAAACAAACCACATCTTTTACAGGTCAAAAGGGCCCAGACTCATTCCCTAGCATCTCCTATTAAGGATGGGAAAGATATGTCTCTCAAAGCCAAAGAATAGCAAATACAGGGCTGGAGGGACCAAGAAAAATATAAGGTGCTTCATATGCTGTTCTTAGGTCATGCACTTAACCACGTGGAAGGAATCTGGACAATCATCTCTATGCCAATAAAAGCGGTGGAACTATGAAGTGGGTCAGGACAGAGAGTAGGGGAGGAGACTGAAAGTAAGTCAGGGCTGTTCTTCTTGCATCAACTTGGAGAACCAATCACATGGGGAAGGAGGATACATCAACTCCAAGCGTGATTTCTGTGGGTTCTCAAAACCTGAACTAGTTAAAAACTAGCATATCTACTGGGAACGTATTAGGAGAGAATATAGTCAAGGCTGCTCCCAAACCCTGAAAACAGCTTTACAACAGCAGCCTCCCCACTCTGCATCACCACCACTTCCTCCCTGTTTTAGCTGGGGAACAGGAAATTTCCAAAAAGAAACTAAGTGGCCTGTGGATCTCAACATTCAGGCTTTCCTAATTCTCAGCATTATGGTCCTGCTACTGGCCAATGCTGTCTTTGTTTAACACAAAGCACAGTGGCAAGTTATTTATACATATAAAATATACACACAAAGTTCATATACGTATAATAAAAAGAAAGTAAGATCCTACCCTTGCACCATAAGTGGACAGGGAAAAAAAGCAGCAAAGCAAGCAACACTGGAGCACAGGATGCACCAGACAAAACAGTGCAAGGCCTCAGGACCAGAGGCAGGGAGGGAACAGACAATAGCAACATGAAGGCTCATACAGAGGGGCTTGAGCACTTAATAGTAAATCCATTCCAGGTCTATTACCGTCCCTTACTAAAGCCCTAAAAGGAATTCTATACCTGCTAGGTTCAAGGGATACCTCCCAACAATTCTTCAGCAGAGACAGTATCTGGCACTTATCCTATTTACTTTCCTCTTCCATCTCAGCTGCCCAAAGAGTTGATTGCTCATACAGCCACAAGCCACATAGGAGGTGAAATGCAGAGAATGTTGCAAAGCAACTGATCCTCTGCAAAACACAAAAGGCCAAAAATGGGTCCTTGTTGACTAGGATATTCAGCTCAGATAACACTCATTTTATAATGGAGGTAGGATTACAGACAGGACACCCTTTCTTCGTCTCTAGAGGTCTAATTTATTGAGCAAGAAATGCAAATTCTTTTTCAGAGATGAGAGGCGTAGTATTTGAGCAACTGTACCCAAAATCACAAATCTGGTTTGTTGTACTTGTATACTGCCCACTCCCTGTAGATATTAGCATAGCTATCAACAGTCATTTATAAAATACAGGTGGGCACACAAAGGAACACAGGCTGGAAGTACCACTGAATGAGGATATCATAGTTCAATGAATAAAGAATAGATGAGAAAAAAGAGTTCCCCTAATAGTAAACAGATAAAAAAGCAAACTCTGCCCAAACCTGAACATTCCTCTAGTAAGGGCTTTGCTTTCTTGGAGATAAATTTAATATTCCTCCCTAATGTTGAATTGCCCTTTCACCTCTGCCTTGCTGCTAGCAGTAAACAATTAAGAACATGGAAGCAAAGATGCAATTTTGCATTCCAGAAAGTTATTTCCACAGAAACTAAAGAATACTGCATACAGAGGAGTAGGGTACTTTCTTGCTCCATTAACAACTGCTGTCCTTCATCCCCCTTGCTCCAATCTGAACTCTATAAACATCAGGAAATTGTTTGAGCTGCACCCAAATAGCTTGCAAAGCATTCAACACATCTGGATTACAGGGATTTCCTGATAAGGTTGAAGACATCATCTCAAAATGAAATGGGGACATTTCCCAGATGGCATAGGCGCAAGTAATAAGCAAACTCTTACTTGCTCATGTTAAGCTTGTTTGAATCAGGAGAAAGAACATTAAGCTATTTGCTTCTAATCAGCACACATAGGTAACTTTGGGCAGTATTTACACCAGCTGTCTCAGGCCACATGCTCTTTTTCATGCATGAAGAAAACAAGAACCCTTCCTCTAACACATTAATCTGGAAGGTCTCCCTTGCTGCTTTCTCCTGCATCTCTCTGGGGCAAGAAGGAAAGCAACAACTGCAGGCCAAACTACTAGTTTTAATTGAATGTTTGCTATCTTTGGAAAAGCCTTATCTTTTCTCCTGACCTAGAAAGGCTGATACATGGATGTGGAGGATGTAGAGTGAGTTTGGTTAAAGGCATTTTTTGAATGCTGATCCAAGTAAGCACTGAAACTGACCTGTTGATGAATAAAAGCACTTTCTAGCTTCTTTGCTCCATAGCTGCCTAACACATGCTTCTTGCTTGTCAGAGATCCTAGATCTTACTGAACAGCCACAAAGCAGCAACATGTTCCATATAATTCAGTAGGTCTCACCTCAGAGGTTATCATGATGTCCACACTCTTAACCTGCACTAGCAAGTTAATAATAAAATGCCATATAACCCATCTGACAAAGCTTTGACAGAATGAGGCTAAACTCTGGCTCTATTGTATCTAGGGAGGGAGGGCAGGCAGGCATTCTCCCTCACCTCTCAAGTTAAGGGTAGCAGAGAGAAGAAAAATACATTTTTCTAAGATACAGATTTGCTTCCTCTGCTCTGAAATGGCTGCTCTTCTCACACTCTTTGCTTACCCAGTTTGAATGATCTGAATACCACCCTCCCTATCACACACTAATACTAAAAATACTCTCTTTAAGGACCAGCTAATATCACTACAGTTTGTGCAATCACTGCATTTAATAGTTTTAAATTCTCTATCCTCCTCTGTCAGTAAAAATCTCATTACTTTTTTTTACAAAAAACTTTTCCTTTTTTTCTTTTTTTCTTTTCTTTTTTTTTGCAAAACTAGGCTTTTCTTCCCCCTCCCCCCTTTCATCAAACTCTCTTCTCTAAAAACGAAGGACAACAAACATGGCACAGACAAAGACTATTCCCCTGGTTTCCCCACACACAATTCGTATGCCATCTTTGAACAAAGTGTGTGTACAGAATGTCTCTAATCCTCTATCACAAGCAGAAATATTTATAGAAATTCAAGAAAACCTGCCATAGCGCAAGTCACTAAATTATGATAGCTCTCTGTCACCCTCTAGTGGCTGTACTGTGGTAGGGGCCATGGTTGCCACTTAACAGGAAAGATCAGCACAATTTGCTTTTGGAATGTGTAGGCCAAATGGGAAAATTCTAAAGCAAAAAGAACCAACCTTGCATTTCAGCACAGCACACACCAATCCTTCCCCTCAAGAGTAATAATACCCCTGGAGAAAGGAAAATGTTCAAGTCTTTTGGAGCAAATGAGCTGCCAGGCTGATACAACCCTCACAGTAACGAACTTCCAGCAAAGTTAATTAGGGGCTGGGGCTGTAAATTGCAAAACAGCTGAACTCACAGTCAAAATAGCAGACTTTTATTTGTGATCAGAGTGGCTCCTGATGCTATGCAGACTCAAGTATCCCATAACTGCAGAATAATTTATTCAAGCCCACATCTGTAGCCTGATCATTATGACACAGTCACCTGGTAACAAGGATACAGAAAATGCAGCCACTATCGGCACAGCACCAGGCTCTGCTCTACTCAACTGGCTCCTCAATATCAACCTGCCAGGGAATAGCTCTTAACTTGCCTTCACCTCAGGGAAAACCCTTTAGGGTGCTTCTTGACAGAAATCTCAGCTGTAGTTGAATCAGCACATGACAGCTATGAGCCAGGCAGGAACTACCAACAAATTCCACTAGCTGCTACAAACAGGTGGGCAAGAAGGATCAGAAATGATGGCAGCTCATCAGCCACAATTGCACTGAATGCCTGAAGTTACAGACATTTTGATGCATTTCCTGTAGTGTCACCATGGCAATGCAGGAGTTACTATGTGCGTAACCATTTTTAATTCAAGCATTGTGATTTGAGTCCTAAAAGGCTAAGGCTTCTACTAGCAGATGGACAGTCCTCTTTCACACAGAGGCTGCTTCACATATTATGGGAAAGATGCTTTCCTGTTCATTTATCATGTATAATACTAGGAAACACTAATACGTAGAGGAAACCACAAGTCTGAAGACACACAATCAACACATACCCAGTGCTTTTAGCCAAATGCACCTCCTGAACATCCCTCCAAAATGTGTGCCCCACCCTCTTGTTAAAGTGGTCATGAGGGACAAATGGGAAATTGTCTTTGCCATACCATGTGAAGCCACTTCTTCCTTATCCTGCACTATTTTCACTATACCATCTCTCTTTTAAGGATGAACTCTGCTAGTGCTCTGCTCTATCCTTTTTACAACACTGACAGGATGAACAAAAACAATCAGCCTGATGCCCTTGAAAGGTACATTTAGAAGTCAGCTTCTAAAGGGCAACAGTTTTACAAAATATGTAAGGAAGGCAAAAGACCTACTCTATGGACACCCACAGAAGCCAAAGTGGCAAGAGACTTGAGGAAGGGGGATGGAGGAAATCAGCCAAGAGAACATGTGCTAAAATATCTGAAGAATTTCCTATTAAAATTCCCTTTATATTTTCCATCTACCTCTTCAAATATTAGACAAATTTCAAAACAAAACACCACACAAACATACCAAGCAATCTCAAAACATGATTGACTAGTATGCACCCATCCAGTATAATAATTCCTCTCTTGCAGCTTCATAAAATAATTCTATTTTTCTCCTTTAAAGTCTTTTCTTTAATACAAGTCTCCCTGCTTACCCACCATTATACATCTTTACCCTCAGCCCAGCCCAGCCCAGCCCACCCACATTTGAAGCTACAGCCATTAAAATAAACTCCCATGAAAAAGCCTCCCACTTCTTTTGAGGCAAAGCAATGATATAGCCTGTTTCACTGAACCCATGAAAGCAACAAACAGCTGTTTCAAAATATGCACCTGTGGAATTGAAGAAAGCCTTGAATTTGTATATAAGTGGAAGAAGTGCAGAAGTACATAACCTTGCACCCTGTGTAAATTTCTCTGGTTTTGAAATAGTTTTTAAAAGACACAAAAGATGTTGCATGGTAAGAAAAAGGACAGCAACATTTTGAATCATATGTCTTAACTATTAACTACACTCAAACTGTCACAGACAATCACATTGTTTAACAGTATACATTTTGTTTTTGGTAGGCATCCCTATCTATAGACACTCATATAAGCTTATTAATAAGGGATCACTACGCATCACCTTTCAATTCTCTATCTGGCAATAAAACCTGTGCCTAGTTTCTTCTAAAGCACAGATGTAGCCAAGTGGATGAAGCTGATGAAGAAAGGTGGAGCAGCTTTCAAAGACAGAAGGGTTAGGAGAGAAAGAAGAGGAAATCTTTCCTAATGTAAAATACTGAAGAGGTCAAAGCACCCCACTTGTTAAAAACCTGTCAATCAAGCAAAAATCACAATAGTTGCAATACTTACATGAAATGATAAATAATTCAACTTAAAAAACAAAAATAAAATGAAAGAGCACACTAAGCAAGCCCTTGGAAGTAGAAAGCTTAACACAGGAATACAGGGAAGAGAGATGCCATTAAGTACTGGATTTAGTTATTTCAATGACAGCATTGCATGCAGACAAGCCCTTAAAAGATCATCAACTCAAAAACATCCCTTCTCTCCACAGTGTAACAAAGTTTACCAATAGTATGACAGGCAACACTACACACACGTGCGCGCCACTGGAAACAAAACAGAGGCACATAAGGAGGAGAAGGGAAGTTGTGGAACATAAATTGACAGAAAAACCATGAAACAGGAGGTTGCAGAAATGACTTTATCTCTGCAATGACTCTTGGACATCATTATATTAGTTCATAGTTATTATTAGCTTATGGGCAGTGGTGGGAAGATAGCAAAAGCAGCCACATTTTTACTAGCTTTCAAGACAAGGTATTAAGGTTTCATCAGAATGAATTCATAAAAAACAAAGTGTTGTGGACAGGTAGATAGGAAGGAGAGGCAAACATACACTGCAAATGCATGCCACACATACATACCAAGAGCTAAGAAACACAGAAGAATTTACAATAGGTTCTTAGCACCTTTGGTTGGCAACAGTAGAGGCAGACTGAGACCCTGGGAACTGAAGATGGGAACATTCTCCCATCTCACTTGAATGTAGATGAGGAAAAACATAAGTAGCAAATACTTTTTACCTTTTGGAAGGATAATTGAATTATATTTACCAAATCAAAATAAGATTGGTGGGTTTCATACCACTGCACAACATTTCCATCTCTCCCATACTAGGCAGACATGGAGTTCCTCTCTTTTTTTTTCTTTTTTTTTACAGTTAGTAGGTTTCAGAAGTGGGACTCAGATGCCTCAGATATAAGGAAAGGGAAGGAAGAGCAGCAGACAAGACAGGACAAAACTGGTGACTTAATAAGTCTGAAGCAGCTCTGGCTTGACCAAAAACCATGCAGTGTACACTAGACAGAGAAATAGTTCAAAGCAGATGGGAGGGGGATGCGAGGGGAATACACCCAGGCTGACTACAAAGGCTCCCAAAATTACTGAGACCCCTGTGACACCTTAACACCTAATCAACTGCTTTAGTGCACTACAGCCCACAAAGCATATGCCATAATAAATGTGTATGTCTTTGAAATGCTTTTGCTGCAACAGACTAACATGGCTCCCCCCTCCCCCCTGGAAATGGTCACATGAACCAAGTTAGCACCTCTAATATACACAAAAAGGAAGAATGTGAAGGAGCACACTGAAAGTTTAAGACACACACATCCACCTAAAACTTTGGTAGCGGCCCCTCCCTTCTGCATAAATGTTTATTCTTCCTAGGGCATGGTCAATATGAGCCATCTTACCCAAGCCACAGATATAGGAGAAATGTGACATGGATAGAGCTGCACAAAATTGAAAACCTGGGGTACAAGCTCATCTTTGTATTTGGCCAAAGGATCTCATTTTTCATTAAAGAGAATGGAGGGAAAAAAATAAACCCTCATTTAAACATCCACTCAAGTTCTTATTTGCCAACCTCCAAATCAGTGCATCATAATCCTTGAAGACAAAAGGGGAAACATATCCCGTTGTAAACCCTAGCAGCTGTGATATTTGGGAATTTCAAATACATCTATTCCCCTCTAACACCACTTTAACTTCCAAGCAAAAAGAGAAAGAATGGATGAGGAGGAAAGGAAAAAACAGGCATTCACACCATGCATGTTCTTGCAGTACAGCCTCCCTGTCCCATCCCCCTCCCACAACCCCAATGAAAGAGGAATTCAGCCTTTCATTTACTGCCTCCACCACCACCTCCAGCTGCTGCCACCTTCTCAAAATCCTCTGCATTGCAGAATTCTTTGATGGTGACTGTCAGGAGGTTGCTGGTGACATCAGTGACCACCACGTTAGAGCAAGGGGACATTTCAGGGCGCCAATCACCAGCCTCCTGCTCTGGATCAGAAGAGGATGGAGATGATGGCATCTGACCCCCACTGCCTCCTCTAGAAGGAGACCGTTTGCTGGTGGCTGCTGACTCAGGTGGAATTGACAGATCAAGGACCTCTGACTCACGCCAGTCAGGAATGGCAGGACTTAATGTCTCAGGAAGCAGCTTTGGTGGAGAATCATCAGGATCAGATGAGGAGTGTGGAGCTGGTGATGGGCAGTCAGAGGAGCTGGAACTGCGGGCATCATAGGCAGCAGAGCCCATGAGGCCACATGAGGCACCTTGAGAGCCTCCTGCCTCTGTCTTGCCCTCCAAGGATGGAGATGGAGTAGATGACTTGTTGTACAGAGGAAAGCCTCCAAATTTCATGTGACGGATCTGATTGCGAAGCATGCTCTCACTGAACTTCTTGCTCTTGCCAATTACACGGTTGCGCGAAGGAATCTTGGGCCGTGCCAAGCTTCCTCCCCCACCAGCTTTTCCACCTTTATCAATGACCTTCAGGTTGAGAATGATGCGGCTGCGCTTAGGCTCACGAGGCTTCACCTTGCGGTTGATGATACGGACGGTCTCTGAAAAGGGAGATACCGGAGGGCGGATGCCAGTGCCCCCACCTACTCCACTATTCTGGGGATCTGGGCGGGGCAAAGGGCGCCGAGACATACGGTGGCATCGCCGGATGTCCTTCTTGAGCCGATGCACAGCAGCACTCGAGTGAAGTTTAGGTGAAGATGTGCTAGAACCAGGCTTGACAGAAAAATGTACATCCCCAATGTGTAGGGCCTCCGCCTGGGCCCGAGCCTGCAGTGGGAGGGGGAAAGTGGAAAAAATTGAGTTAGATTGGAATATACTAAGCTATAAACTATGGTTATGCAAAGAACGTTTAGAGGAAGCAGAGTCTAAGCTCTGCATAAGCCTGAAATTCAAATTCAGCATGTTTCTAAATGAATTGAGTGTTTTGCTCAAGTTTAATCTTGCCTGTAAATGATATTGCCTGTGAGCAGAGAAAGCCCTGTCAGGATCTATAGTACCTTTGTAGTCTCTTGCTGGGTTCTCACATCATGACAAGCAACTTGCTGTGGTTACCAGTTTGTGGGTTTTTTACCTCAATGTGCCAGAATGATAATCAACCTCATGGTAATAATCTTCATCCCTCCCGTCTCTTTTCTCTCGGTCCTCCAAGTGGTATCCCAGGGGACACTGTGGGAAAGACTAAGGCTCCCCTCTTGGACAGCCACAAACACAAGCCAGCTTTGGTTCACTGTGGCTAGAAAGCAGTCTCTGTTGTGCCATCAGGGCTCATGCCCTGAAGTACAGCAGAAAGGACAAGGATACACATCAGGCACTCTTGCTGTCAGCTCCAGTGGGAACTGCTGGAACAGAAGGAGAGGCTGCCTAATTTATGCTCAGGCAAAAGAGGGCAGAAATCAGCTTGGATAGCAGTACGCAGGTGGATGTTGCACTGTTAAACTGATTTCCCAGCCTCCCATACACATGAGAGAGAGGGATGAAAATTGGCTGGGCAGCACTGCCCCTAACCAGGCATTGCTACCGAGCTGATTCCCATCCTTGTGAGAGGCTCCCCTCAGGTGTGCATGGGGAGCAGCAGCAGAGGAATCAGCTGAACAGTGTTACCCCGACATGAGCACCATCACCCAGCTAATTCTCACCCTTTCCACTCAAGTGTGCGGGAGGATGGTAGGGGAAGCAGCTAGTGCCGCTTGTTTTTGCAGCACCACCCAGCAGGTCAACCAATCCTGCCTCAAAGAAGATTTTTAGGGCAGGAGGCAGGCAGAGCAGGGATGCTTCTGGCAGCTGTCAGTGATGCTCTCTGGCTAGCTGCTCAGCAAGAACAGTAATGGGCTGTTCTTGCCAAGCAGTTCTCTGGTTCCAGCCTTTATACCCCAAACACCACAATGTTTTGTGTTTTCCAGATTTCTGGTAATGTAACAAGCCATCATGGTACCAAAAAAAAAAACACCAAACAAACCATAGAATAAATGTCACTTCTGTCTGTTGTGTCTAAAGACCCAATATAACAGGCTGAAATATTAAGTTGTGATTTGGACAATACAACAGACCAATAATGGTTTTAAAACAGCACCATGACTTGTTATGTAGTACAAACCCAGCCTCTCAAAGTTATGTTATACTTAGAATACTGGGACTACTTAAAACATTTTTAAAAACTTAGGAAAGTGCTATTCTAAGTTATGCCCATTCATTAACCTTGCAGCCAGATAGTTAATGTTGAGACCATTCATTTAGCAGAGTGTAGTGGAATGAAAGTTAGAAGTAACCAACATTTAATCAAGGTATTTGCAACCCAAGATCACACCAATATAAACCAGCCCATTGCATTACCTTCGCTTACTTCAAGAAACGGCTTTTTAGAGCACAGTCAGCTACAAAACAAATTTCATTTGACAATCAGTAACATGCACATTTCCTAACATAATTTAACTGAACATAGGAAAAAAGAATGTCACATGCAATATGTAAGACAAACTACAACAGGCTTCAGAATAAGATTCTGAACCTCAGATTGAAATTCTTACTAAAAAAAGGAGATGCCTGGTGCAAGACATTTTAACCCACCGATTCATCAGGCCAGGTTACATGATCAAACAACCTACTGTGGGTTATTTATTTAAGCTATGGTGGATTGCAGAACATATTGGTGACCAGTTTGAATATTCAAGCTGTGGCTTGTCATGTCATCCAAACCCAAGAACCATAGGTTATGTGAGGGTTAAAGAGCCCTTGCATAACCCTAAGAAAGGCCATAGGTTCTTCAAGGCTTGTTAATTCCCAGTTTGTACTTGACAGTCTTGTGGCTTGAATATTTAGGATGACAAAAGCAGCTACCACAGTTCACTGTCAGTCTCTCAGACTTATAATTAAATAAACAAAGGACACTGACATGCTTGAGAGAAAGGAACATTTCTGGATCTACAAATATAGAACTCTTCATATGGCCTTAACTTAGATAATAATTCATAAGCTTTATACTACTCTTAAAAAAGCAAGTTGTGAGGAATTTCTTCTCCTCATATTCCAAACTAATACTACTCTTTGGTATCCATTTAACATCATAGCTACTGATGACAGTGGAATCCAAAAAAATTAGCATTAAATATATTTTGAAATCGTTCTGTTATTACATCTGTCTATTTTTGAAGCATTCCCTCTGGGCAAATACCAAGTTTTTTCTTCATTTTTTTAAACATTAGACTTTAGCCAACTTGTATGAACTGATCTCTCATATTGCTAAGAAGATTAAATAGAACGTAGGAAGTAATGCGTTTATCACTCAGGCTGAATACTGAATATTCACCATAGTACTAAACCTATATTTGAGTGTACCATTTCATGGGTCTCATGTAACTGAATATCTCTCCATATGGAAAATTCTCTCTCCACAGAAAACCTGGTATCAGGGAGAACAACTCTAGATTAGCCAAATTACAAGACATGCAAGTGCACGTGCTTCTTCCCCTCTCCACTTACTTTATATTGTTAAAGTTGTCTTGAGCAGTAATTGAAAAATGAAAGGGGGGGAGTAGACTGTTTAACCTTTTCCTTTCTTGCTGCTTGATTTGCTACTGTTGCCTTTATGAGTGGAAGAATATTAGGCAGGTACTTTATTCAGTTGCTCTTTCACTCTTGTTTGCAGCCCCTTAGGCTGCTTTAAAAAAACAGTAGGGAGGAAAAAGAATCACAGAAATTAACAGCTGGTTTGCCTTTCAGTGAGAACTTGGCATAGTCTTGTTGAAAATAGTTATTCTAGCAGTCAGAAGGCCAGATTATGGGCCCTTAAAGGTAAAAGGTAAAGGTTTCCCCATGACATTAAAGTCCAGTCATGTCTGACTCTTGGGGGTGGTGCTCATCTGTTTCCTAGCCGAGAGAGCCAGCGTTTGTTCGCAGACAGTTTCCTTGATCCTGTGGCCAGCATCACTAAACACTGAAGTGCACAAAATGCTGTTACCTTCCCACTGAAGTGGTACCTATTAATCTACTTGCATTTGTATGCTTTCAAACTGCTAGGTTGGCAGGAGCTGGGACAGAGTACAGGAGCTCACCCCGTCGTGCAGATTCGAACAGTCACCCTTTCAATCAACCAGTCCAGCAGCATAACAGTTTAAACCACTGCGCCACCTGCATCTCTCTTCAATTCAGATACCCATCCCCTATCTCTGCCTTCAGTATTTATAAAGTTAAGAAATGAAATATTCAGAAGTAACTCAACAGTGCCCCTTAGAGTGTCTGTTAAGTTAGATGCCACTGAGCAATTTGAATTTCTTTCCCCACACATACCCAAAACCAGTAAGCGTTTTTTATATAAGGTGTCGACAGGTTCAAACCAGCTGTGGACTTTTGAGATGTACATTTAGAGTTCCTACATAGCTGAGCCTAACCACTAAGTAATTTTCTGATTTGCTCACTAGTCTTCTGACATCAGAAATGGAAGCTACAGCGTGATTGGCCAAGATAACTTTGGGGCCAACTTTAACTGAACTAAGTTTGAAATCCTTCCAAATACCAAAATCAAGGCCAATATGCTCTTTTTCACTCTGCAACGAATTCTACATATGCCCTGGAATCCAAGAACATGCAACTAGCTAAATCAGTTTACTTTTGGGATTTATCTATGTGTAAGAGAGATTGCTACCCCCCCCCCCAATAAACTTTATTTCAGAGCCACCGCCCATGCACTTTGGACATTTGCCTACACAGTTTTTTGAGGGAAATATTGGTTTTTATTTTTAAACATTAATCATATGATGGGCTGCATAGTTACTCCACTCCCAGGATTTTTGCAAGATTTTGTTAAGGTCTATGTTTCTGGGATCACTGCCTTGTCGTGGCAAAGGGGCCTGCGCAGCTCAATGAAGCTATGAGCTATGCCATGCAGGGCCACCCAAGACGGACAGGTCATAGCAGAGAGCTCTGACAAAATGTGATCCACTGAGAAGGAAATGGCAACCCACTCCAGTATCTTTGCCATGAAAACCCCATGGACAGTACCAAAAGGCAAAAAGATATGACGCTGGAAGATGAGCCCCTCAGGTTGGAAGACGTCCAATATACTACTGGGGAAGAGCGTAGGCCTAGTACTAGTAGCGCCAGAAAGAATGAAGCGACTGAGTCAAAGCTGAAAGGACACTCAGTTGCAGATGTATCTAGTGGTGAAAGGAGAGTCCGATGCTGTAAAGATCTATATTCCATAAGAACTTGGAAGGTAAGATCCATGAATCAAGGCAAGTTGGATGTGGTCAAACAAGAGATGACAAGACTGAACATCGACATCTTAGGAATCAGTGAACTAAAATGGACAGGAATGGGTGAATTTAATTCAGATGACCATCAGGTATACTACTGCGGGCAAGAATCCATCCGAATACATGGAGTAGCCTTCATAGTCAATAAAAGAGTAGGAAAAGCAGTACTGGGATACAATCTTTTAGCCGAGAATGCACCGGGGTTTTTTACATGTTTTTTTTAATTGCTATATTATTATTATTTATGTATGTTTTTATGTATTCTTTGTGAGCCGCTCCCGAGGCTTTGTTGCGATGGGGGCGGCATAGAAATGTTTTAAATAAATAAATCTCCAAAATGACAGAATGATCTCAGTTCGAATCCAAGGCAAACCATTCAACATCACAGTAGCCCAAGTCTATGCCCCAACCACTGGTGCTGAAGAGGCTGAAGTTGACCAGTTCTATGAAGGCTAGGTGACAACACCTTCTAGAATTAACACCCAAAAATAATGTCCTTATCATCATGGGGGATTGGAA